GGTGGGTTGTTGGCATGGGGAACCTTTTCCCTTCCTCAGCCTCCCCCTCGTCTTTTCCACTCTGCAGTCACTCTTTAGCTTGAGGGAAATGCGCCTGTTTGCTCAACTACCAGATAGGAAATTTTAGAAAGAGAAAAGCAAAGAAGCTCATGTCTGCCTGGCATGTTGTCACCCAAGCAAACCAGGAAGTAAAGCAGCCCCACAGAACCATGGGAAAACCAGGAAAAAGCTTTAAAGGAGATTTGTTTGTGTAAATTTGAATTTCACACTACAGTAAATGCATTTCCTCTAAACTCCCGAAAATAAAAAGATCTCGGATAACACCACTTTGTGACCACTTTAATGTCAGTTTCTGTGCGACGTCGTGTGAAATCGTTAGGCGTAAGTGCGCTTTTTTGGGGGGATTTGTGTGGGATAACCTATAGATTTCCCCCGTGTGATAACGTCCTAGGACATTTTAAAAGCGGCTGAAAAAATTGGAACAACAAGAGTTTAATCGAGATTGTCCCTGCAAAATCAGAATAATTGCTGGGTATGTGTCTGGCAAGGCCTGCTGAATACAAAATAACCTTTCTTATGCCTCTGGAGAGTTGTGAATGTTTGGCAAGGATACTGATAGGGATTCTAGAACCTACCTGCCTGGTAGTGGGAGATCACATCTGCTACACAGTCATACTGTGTCCATGTCCTACCTATTCAAACATGACTCTTTTTCTGTCTTCTTGTTTTACTTCCCAGGTGGTCTCCAGGCCATTGCTGAGCTGCTTCAGGTGGACTATGAGATGCATGGAATGACCAACGACCCCCTCAACCTGGCCCTCCGGCGCTACACCGGCATGGCCCTGACCAACCTCACCTTTGGCGACATTGTTAACAAGGTGCAAAGGGGTCATAAGGGCCACTGGGGTGGGGCAAACGGAAGCCACAGTGTCCCATACCTTCAAACATTTCACAGATAAAACTGGGATGTGTGCAGCTTGGCAACTTCAGAATGTGGTCAAAATGGCAACAGTTATGAATGAGAAGGAATACATAGGTTGGAAGAGGCTGATGCAGTTTGGTTTTGAGCCTCCTGGGAAGGGCAAGAATCTTCTCTCTTCCTCTGCTTTCTTCCCTGCTGAGTTGAGTGCAAACTACTTTTGTACCCTGAACTCCATTTGCAGCAATTGAAGTAATCTCAGGACAAAAGGGGAAGAGCAAGAGGAGCAGAGAAAAAACAGGATATTTTGAAATAAGCTGGAAAAGTAGAACATAAAGAGTTAATCAGGACTACTTCTGCCCAAACAAGACACAAGGTATTCAAGACTCCTTCCTCTCCTTACCTTTATCATGCTGAATTAACTGAGTGCAAATTACTTTTGCACTTTGAATTCAGCTTAAAGCAAGTGAAGTAAGCCAAGGACAAAGAGGGAAGATGCAAGGAAGATGGAGAAACTGAGACATTTTTAAAGTAGCTGGAAACTGAAAGAGCAGAAGGTTAGCTGGCACTGTTCCTGCCCAACAGTTACATGTAGGGGTTAGGGGATCCCATATGTGGAAAAGGGCAGGGAGGGAACAGCCTCTTGTTTCTTTGCCTGAGGCAACAAAATGGCTTCAGATAGAACCCTTATGTCCATTGTCCTCTCAGTTTCTGTTTCCTGTCTCTTCCTGCTTCTAGGCAACCTTGTGCTCTCGCCAAAGATGTATGCAAGCCATTGTGGCTCAGCTGGCATCCGACAGTGAAGAACTCCACCAGGTGCGTAGGCACGAATATAAGGGATGTGGAAGGATGGATGTTCTGGGGGAGCAGCAGAGCATCCACCTGGTTATAACTGGACTTCCATTGCCTGAAGTGGAACTCACTCAGCACGGATGGCATGTACCTTTGTCTGGAAACTCTGCTTTCAAAGTACATAGGAGGCTGCCTTATCCCTGATTTCTTAATCAAATTGAATATTGCCTGCCCTGACTAGCAAGTGACTCTCCACGTAAAAGTGTCTCCATTCATAACTCTCTCTTCCTTATGCTATAAAGATGTCAGGGATTAAAGCAACCTGCTGAAAACAGCAGCAGAAGGAGAAATGTGTAGCATAAGAAGTTGCCTCTTTGATTCGAAATGTGTATCTTGGCATGCATAATTAACATTAATATTCTTCCCTCTCTTCCTGCATGTCCTCATCTCAGGTTGTGTCTAGCATCCTGCGGAATCTATCCTGGAGAGCTGACATCAACAGCAAGAAGGTTTTGAGGGAGGTGGGAAGTGTCACAGCGCTGATGCAGTGTGCGTTACGGGCCACCAAGGTGAGAGAGGAATCAAGGGAGCATGTGACTGGCAAACTCCAGCCATTTACTTCTCCCATCTACTTGTCTACATACAAATATCTATGCCTTCCTTCCATTTCCTGGTCTTTATTCTTGTGCATTTTTATTTTCTTTCTCGTCTTCTTTCTTTACTGATTTCAATAAACATACCGAAATACTGGGTGTGGTCAGGTCAGGAATTCTAAAAAAGAAAGAGTTCATGATGGTTGGGAGCTTCTTAAAAATGAGATATTAAAGGCACATTTTCAAACAGACGATCGGGAGGTCTAAAGAAAACAGGATACCGGTAGATGTATAATAATAATAATAATAATAATAATAATAATAATAATTTTTATTTATATCCCGCCCCTCTGCTAGGCAATCGGGGCGGTGTACAGCATTTCGAAACATCAAAACAAACTGGGTGGTGCTGGGCTTAGTTAGTGTCTCTCCCCCAGATGACATCAGATGGTAATGGAGGGAGGGCTCTTCTTCTTATTCCAGGTCCAATGGTGCTAAAGAACTTTCAGTTGCGCTAAGACTTAAAATGGGCATATACAAAAAATGGAGAAATGGAGAAATCATCAAAGAGGAATTCAAACAAATAGTCAACATGTATAGAGAGAAAGTCAGAAAAACTAAAGTGCAGAACACATTCATATATTCTAATATAACATTTTCTTATATTCTAATATAACATTTTAGCCAGCTTCTATTTTAGATTATTATTAATTTAATTGGGTTTTTTGGTGGGAGAATTGAGAGAATTAATTTGATTTGGTCTTTTGGTGGCTGCCTTGGGTCTTTTAGTGGGAGTAAGGCAGAATATAAAATTAATTACTATGCCAGACTCCCTGATTAGAACCTATATCTCCCAAATCCCCAAATCAGCACTTCTAAGCACTATGCAACACTGCCTTCTCCACTGTTGCTGCTGCTGTTCTGATTCTTGATCAATATTCAATTCCTATGCTTTTTCTATGGTTAGGAATCCACACTGAAGAGCATCCTCAGCGCCTTGTGGAATCTGTCTGCTCACAGCACGGAGAATAAAGCTGCCATTTGTGGGGTGGAGAGGGCCCTTGGCTTCCTGGTGAGCACCCTCACGTACAAGTGCCAGAGCAACTCGCTAGCCATAATTGAGAGTGGAGGAGGTATCCTTAGGAATGTCTCCAGCCTTGTTGCTACACGGGAAGATTACCGGTCAGTGCCTCTCCTCAATTTTCCACTTCAGCCTCCCACCTTTTGAGGGTTACTTGCAATGCCAGGATTAGCAATTAACTCCTATTATAACAAGTTATTAATTTAACATTGGATTTTTTGCAGGAACATACTAAGATGAGTTACTTTTTAGGCTGTAATTTATGGGTATAATTCACTACTTCTCAGTGGAACAGGAACTGAATTACTGCCTGTTAAAGGAGGTTCTGACTCAGGACTTTATCACACAGGGAGTTTGCTGGGAAAAGCTGGGATTAAAAAGGCATTTCCCTTGCAAAGTCCCAGGATCGCAGCAAAGATTTTCAGACAACGTCACGATTACAGAGGATTTATCCAGGGAATAACCAGCAACAAATCATTCACAGAGAAATCCCATGAATGATTTGTTTCTGCCTATTCCCTGGTTATTCCTGGGATAAATCCTGTGTTATTGCGATGTGTCTGAAAATCTTTGCTGCGATCTTGGGACTTTGCTGAGAAAATGCCTTTTTAATCCCACCTTAAATCCTGGCAAACTCCCCATGTGATAAAGTCCTCAGTCTGAGCAATGGGAGAGAAGCAGGAAGAGTCACATGGGTGGATGCCTCATGTTGCAACCAGGAAAGAGGGCTGTGCTCTTGGGATTTCTATGGTGCATGATCTGAATTGGCCACTTGAACTGACCGGAGCTCTTTTTGAAAAACAGGAAGTGACTAGAATTCATTTCTGACTTACTCTGGATTTTACAAAAATCCCTCCTGTGGGTCTAAAATGGTCCAGGGGGAAGCCAAAAATAAAGTGAAAATGATCTCAAGCCTC